TGTGAGACTTAATCAAAAGCCAACTAGACACACAGTAAGCCGGGCTAGACCAGACAGTCAGGCACTTGGATACATACTACTACTTAGTGTTAGAGCCTATAGGTAGCTCATTCCTAGTGTCAAGTTTATGCACCTAGCTAACGGTAATTTTTGTTATTTTTATTCATTTTTTTTTTTTCATTTCTGCTGTTGCTGCTGCTTTCGTGCTTTACTTATTAAGCAAAGTGCCTGGCGGGCATTTAAACTTGAAATGTGAAAAGTTCATTGCGCTGAATGGTGTGAATAATAAACAAACCCGGGCTGCTTTAAAGATGCATAGTTTTCAAATCAAAAGATAAACATAAAGAGGAGAACCGCAATCTGAGTCGAATATTAAATACCCTTCACTTGATGAGCAATAATTGTTAAGCCAAGCTCTTGTTTATAGAACAACTTTCAGCTTACGATCGCTCGTATTTATTGCCATAATATGGATATTTATGATCATAGCCTCTACTTTATCATTTAATTACCTTCTCGTAATTGGCTTGTGCTGCATATAAAATATTTTTAAAATTTATAATTGTATATTTAAAGTCGTATACTCTCTGAAAGCGTACTGACAATGAGCTACTATCTGAAAGGGAATTGGAAATGTATTACACTCTGAACGGGTATTAGTAATAGGCTTCTCTCTGTAACAGTATTATAAATGTGCTACTCTCTGAAAGGGTATTAGAAATGCGATACTCTCTTAAAGGGTATTGGATATTGTGATACCCGCATAAAACTCAGCCCAAATGTGCAGCACAGCTGGGCTATCATCGCAGACCCTGCAGCTATCAAGCCCACAAAAAATATGTCATAAAAAACTTTAGCACCAGAAATGGGAAGTGGATATAATATTTTCGTGTATCAGCTAGAGCAGGCGGCATGCCACAGCTGAGCAGCTGCATTGATAGATTTTTTCGGTCATCAAAATGTTTATGGCAACTGGCTGCATAAAAATGCATAGCACAAGGATGCACAGAGAGGGGCACAGGGAGGCGGCGAGGGGAGAGGAGTGTGGCTGGCACCACAGGCAACATCCGCAGTGGAAACGCAATTCTCAAATTGAATGAAGCAATTAATGAAGCAACTGCCGCAGCGACAAGCAACATTTCAGATTTGCATAAAACAGCGGCAAATAAATTCACGGTCAATGTAAAACCAAATCACGAACAACAACACCAACAAAAGCAAGAAAACAATGCACAAAGTGAAGCCGAGCATTGGCAGCCGCAACTCAAAGCCATGGCTAAAACACACACACACACACACACATACACACACGTACACACACGTGTATATGCACATATAAATTGGAGACTGGCCTGGCAACAGGGCCGAGTAAATTTGCATTTGTTCAGCCGCAAAGTGCAGAAAGGAAGTCTAAATGCAGATGATGATGATGAAGCTGTTGATGATGTTGCTGATGATGATGATGATGATGATGATGAAGTTGGTGCTGAAGCACACAAGTCGCTGTGTAGGCTGTACAAAATGAGTGAAGCGAGCCTGGCAATGAGATAATAAGCAGCCGCAGCAGCAGCAGCAGCTCTCTTTATCTATCAACAGCTAGCTCTCTCTCTCTCTCTCTCTCTCGCTCTCTCTTACCAAGCCCCCCCTCGCGTCGTCACTCTCTGCGCACAATCCAATGCGACGTCAGCTGTTGCCAGGTCAGCAACAGCAGCAATAGAACAGGAACAGGAAAAGCAACGCCAAAAGGTCGCCATGTTTGCCGCCATTTTTTTTGTATATGTGCGGCGCTTGGCTGATTTCCGCTAGCTCAACTGCGAAGTTGCTGAGCAAAACAAAATGGTGGAAAATGTCAAGAGCGACAGCGCTGCCAAAGCCGACGTCGACAGCGGCAGCAAAAACAACGCCTAGCAGCAACAGCTGTTGGCAACAAGCCGAAAGGAATCGTCGAATGACGCGAATGGCAAGACCAAAAGGGAGCTGCCAAAACGGCGTCGCTTTTACCCTGATTGTGCTGGAGCTGTAGCGGGGCATGTGTGTGTGTGTGTGTGGGGGGGTAGGCTATTCGCACTGTCATTGCACCTTTTGTTAGGCCCCAATTTTAGGGGTGGGTTTTTGTAGCCGCTTAAGCAACTTAGGCGCACAGCCGCCCATCAGCAGCAGCAGCAGCAGCAGCAGCAGCACAAAAGGCGCCCAAACGCTGCTGCTGCTGCTGCTGCTGCTGCTGCTGACGAACTTGAAGCTTTTGCGGGGCTTGCGGGGCAGAGGATTTGCACTTTTTATATACACACACATATTTTAGGCTTTGGGGTTGGTAGTTTGCGTCGATGACTAAGCGTTGCCCCAAACGTGGCGACTGTGGGGACACTCCCGAGTTGGAGTTGGAGTTGGGTGCGCGTTGAAGATGCTGCGGCAAAAATTGAAAATAAAAAAAACGGGTTTCGTCATCAAGCTAAATGCATAACGGCATAGGGTTAGGCTAAGCTCGAGCTTAGCTTAGTGTTGTCAAGTGCCCAAAGCAGTGTTGCCTAGTTGTTCAAAAGTGTTACTATTAGATAAATTATGCACTTGAGGGCCAGCGACTGCAAACAAGGGCTAAGTCAAATTGTGTGCAGGGTTGCATTAGGCCAAGCTATGTAAATGGAATCTAACTTAGTTGGAATGAGTCTATGCACTAGGATTGGCCTGATATACCATTTAATAACAGCTTTAAGGCTTAGCGAAAATGCAATTCGTGTGGCTAAGCGAGTTGCGTCAGCCAAGTGTATGGACTGTTAGAAAACGCAAGTGCCTGGATAGCTCGATTAAAAACTTGTAAGCCAAGTCGGATTGCAACACACAGATAGACGGGCTGGCTGGCCCGAGAGGCAGGCCTCCTAGCTCCCGGCCCCTCCCCTTGCAGCGTCGTCGCCGACGACGATCAGGGCAATTAGGCAAACGGATGGCGACTGCCAACGCGTTTTGGACAGGCCAAAAAGATTGCTTTTTGCTGCTATAATCAATATATATATGTAAGAGTGCATATCTATTTTATATATATTGTATATTGCAGTTAATAAACAACAACTAAAATGTGACTCATGACTCGCCCGCCGTTCGAGGTAGGGAGCTCTCGAGGGTTTTGCCTAGCTCGGCCATAAATAATAATCAGCGCGGGGCGTCGCAGCTGAAGCTGAAGCTAAGAAAAACTCAATTCCAAAAATATATATGTATATAAAATGAAAAAAAAAAAAAAAACAGCAAACACTGAAAATTGTTTTTCTCGACATTCTCAATGTCCGGTCCGGCGTAACAAACCGCAGCTGACAGGCGACGACAAGGGGCCGGGTCCATTACGCAAAAGCCCCGACAACAGAGCGAGAGAGAGAGAGAGAGAGAGAGAGAGAGACCGCAAAAGCCAACATGCAACAATGCTTTGACCGCAGTCAAAGGCTACTTAAACTACCGTTAAGTCAAATGCTTTGTAAACACAGCCAAAACTAGCTGCAACTGCAACTGCGACTGCTGCCTGAGCCAGACGTGCGCCTAAGGTCAAATGGCGTTTAATAATTTGGGTTAGTGGCTCGCAGCAACTGGCCGCAGCTAGAAACGTGCCACACACAAGCAGATACAAAGATACATATCTCATGGATACACAATTCGAATAAGACATTCGACTGCAATCGACGTATCTAACTGGAGCTGGCGCTTTACTATTTTTGTATTTTTGGCGCGTGCCAATTAAACGTGCCGAGCTCTTTTTTATGAACACTCCAGCAACAGGCAGCACACGCCCACCTTTTGTTTCTTGTATTTTGTTTATTTTGCTCTTTTTTTTTTAAGCTATAAAATATCGCGTTCGGCACAAGTTTGTGGCTTACCACTTGAAAATCAACTCGAATTTCATTAAATTGGCAATAGAACTGACTTATCGCAACTGCTTGAGCCTAATCAGGGGCGTGTTCGTTTTTTACCGCCTCTACAGCTGATTCATATGCAGCTATAGAGACTGTATTTAGTCAGCAATGCGGTTGGCTGACAGGAAACTACTTTAAGTTTCATATATAATAGTAATTAATAAAGGGAAACCCTTTTTAAAGTATTGATTCGGGGATGATCCATTGGGGAATATGAAATAAAGAAAGATTTCCCAATAAGGTATATAGTATATATTAAAGGAATCTCTTTTTAAAGTAAAAGTAAATATAATCGGGAGATGCAAAACAAATTAAAGAAAGGAATATGCATTGGTTCAAACCAGGGAATTACTATAAGAATCATGCATATTATATATGAAAATATATTATTAAGAAAGGAATTGTATTCATAGCTAATAAAGGAATCCCTCTTGAAATTAGAAAATGAAAATAAATAACGATATTTTCTAAAATATTTATAATTTCTATCTAATATTTTCTAGCTCATTTTGCAAATCTTGTCCTTAGCTATTATATATTGCACAGAAATATTAAGAAAAGGAATTGAGTCAGCAATGAAAAGTGTGTTGACCAAAAGGGAAGTGCTATAAGATGATTAAAAAATATAGGATATTTTTTAGACGAAAATAACTTAATAGAGCAGAGCAATGAGTATATGTATGTATTATGCATATCCTAAGTATCTTCTGAAGCTAATAAATAATTAAATGTTGTCTAATATCTGGCCTAATATTTTAATTTCTTCTTGTCAGCCTAAGCCTCCCCTCAACCCTAATACAGAACATGATGCCCTATTATTTTTATTGTTGTTGTTTCTGACTTACTGACCATACGCAAAAAAAAAAAGAATACAATCGCGAACGTGGCTAAAGAAACTGAGCAGCTACGACAATAGTCGGGGGCATAAAACTTGGAATGAGTCAACAACCTTGAAAAGTGAAACCTACAAAAGGAAATGCAGTCAAGTGGCCAGCGACAGCAACTTGGCTAATTAGAGCTGTAAGAAAAAATAACAACAAAAAAAAAAAAAATCTGACCCATTTAGGAAGCCAGTGTATTCAAAGGGTTTGTTGGCCATAAACTTACCCGAGGTATTCGCCTGACCGATGTAATGTCGCTGATGTTGCTGATACCATTCGCAGAGGGCGATTAGCACCTGGTCCGTTTGCATTGGCAGCGGCGACTGCATCGGCGTCTGCGTGGCCGAGGTGGTTGTGTTTGGTGACTGTGAGGCGACGCTGCTGGCGCCATCCGATGCGCCCGACGAGGAGGAGACGCCCGACGATGAGGATGCGCCTGACGAGGAGGATGCCGACGACGAGGATGAGGACGAGGAGGAGGAGGAGACGCCCGAGGTGCCCGATGAGCTCGAGGCAATGTCATCGGTGCCGCCCTCGGGCAGATAAAAGGGCACGGCCATTGTGTGAGTGTGTGAATGTGTGGATGGGTGTGTGTGTGTGTGTGTGAATATTTGTGTATGGGCTGGCTAAGTTCGTAAATTTGTTGTGCGGTGCTTCGGCGTTTGATTTGGATTTTCAATTTGGGACTTTTGTCCTGCTCTGACTTGGCTTTTCGTATTGTTCTGCTGTCTCTCAGTGGCACTTTTCAGGGCGTGCACTCAATTGATTTTGTATTTCTTGTGCAATATTTTGAACATTAAAAATTGCAGCATTTTAGGTTGTTAAACTTCAGAAATGTTTTGCAGCACAAACACTCAAAGTATTTAAATTCTTTGTTTTGTTTATTTATATTCATTTGTCGTATCGTATGATCTTTGTTTAGTATTTATTTTTGTACACTTATCGCATGGAATTGCATCAGTTTGTTTTAATTTTCTTTATTTCTTTATTTTTGTTATTTCTGTTTAGTTTGTTTTTCGATTTTTTCGCATTTTTCATAAAGCTCGCGCAACTTATTTAAAAACACAAACAATTCTCAAAACTCTCAAGTCGCGTAGAAAGAACACACGAAGCACTTAAAACGTGTCGCAAACTCAAACTGCGATTTGATTTCCACTTGGCTTGGTTTGAGGAGAAAACACGTCTTTACTCGCTTCGCGGCTGAACTGAACTAAACTGAATGCGCTGTGCGGCGCAATGCGAGGCAGCGTATCTGCAAGATACGCGCGTTATAAAAAACGACTCAAATTAAGAGAGCACCGCATCGAGCATGGGAGCAGAGGGAGAGCCTCTGCAGCGGCAGCGGCGGCGTCGCTGCCACACTTCCAGAGTGCAGCCGGACTGCCTAGGCCTTATGCTTATGCACATGCATGTTGCTGCAGGTAGTAGTGAGTAGTTATGGCTGTGGGGACGCAGCGGGGCACCCAGCGTCGACGTCGATGTCGATGTCGACGTCGACATCAACGACAACGGCAACGGCAACGGCAACGGCAACGACAACGCCAACGCCGCAACATATACAATGCAAAGAGCGGAGTAAAAAAGAAACAACAAAAACAAAATAAAAATTCAGCGCGAGCGTTACGCTCTTCACTATAAGAGCGAGTGAGTAGGCGGCGTGTCTGTGTCTGTGTCTGCTTGAGCGTGCGTCTGTGTGTGTGTCTGTGTGTGTGTTTGTGTTTGTGTGTTCGTTCGAGTGCGAGTGCGAGGCAGCACAAAGATCTTGTTGAGCAGGTAACTCAGCAACAACAAACAGCGACGCGGCAGAGCAGCGAACGTCGAAGCAAAACAAAAAGTGCGATTGCAGGCACAAAGTCTGCGTCGCTGTTGTTGTTGTTGTCGTTGTTGTTGTTGTTGGCGTTTTGTCATGGAGCAACAACAAAAAGAAAGGAACACGAAACGAGCGAGAGTAAAGGCTTTGCTCTTAGAAATAAATCGAGTACGAGCTGGCTCGACTGTTAGATATGCTATAAACATAATTTAAATGAATATACCTGGGCACATGTGCACATTCCTCATTTCCTCTTTTAAAATTATCCGAAAGATTGTGTTGGTCAAAAATATATTTCAATCAGACAAGATTGTATTCCAAGTATCCCAATATGCTGCAAGTACGTGGTATAACGTGTGAGGTTGGAAGCCACTGAGCTGAGTTTACGCGCCAAAAAGTGTAGCAGAACTGAAAAAGGTAGTAGAAAAAGGTAGTTAAAAGGTAGTTCGACTTGGCAATAATATATTGGCCTGACGAACTTACATATAGCATATGCATGCATAGGTTTTATTTTATATTAATATAATTATTTCTTGATGTGTTTCTTTATTGACCTAATTCGTACTTAATGTACATATTCCCAGATCAGTGAAATATACCGACGATTATTCCTAGTTCTTAAGCCCCATTTGCTCAATACTGTCACAATCGGAACAATTTCACCATATCCTTAAAGCGCTCCAAACCTGTTTCATTGAGCCACAATCGTAACCTTCCATAACAGGCTCTCAAATTATGCTAAATCATTCTCTCTGCGCTCTTACAATTATGTTGCGCGCGCGAAACGTCATGCGAAAGAAAATAAAAAATAATACGAAGTGGGTTTTATTTAGCAAAGGTTCTAAAACTAATAAATCCCATGAGTCCAACACAGCTGACCTCTATTTAAATGTATGCACATGAATGTTATAAGTTCATGTATTTTAATACGTATAAATAATAACTTTCTTTGTGCGAAACTTGTGTTTTTTATATTGCGGATAAATATCTTTATATTCATACATATGTATGTACATGTATGTACATTTGTACATACGAACATGCATAATATGTGTATGTTATGTATAGATAGTTTGGTTAAAGAACACGATCTAAAAGTTTAAAGCTGTATATCTAAAATAATTTGTCTAATCTTGACTTAACTGAAATTCGCAGCGAAAAGATTCTACAACTTTTTCTACTGCACAACTTGAAGAAGGTCGGTAAAGAAAATGCTGATAAAGCCGTAACAAAAGATAAAGATAAGAAACACACATAACGTGTCGCGTGATGCAAGGATTGCCCAATATGATGAAATTAAAAAAAAAAACATGAACATGAATGCGCATGCAACAAGCGAAGAGGTTCAAAGAGGACGAGAAGAGGAGAGGGCAGCACCACACAGAAAAAGGGGCTCGCTTTTTATACTCTAGCATAAAGTGAGTGGGGTATATTAGTTGTGCCCTGCTGTCCTTGTGTCCGGGTGCTGCATCAGTTAGCGAGGGGGCGTGGCAAATCGGAAGCGCCTTATCAATTTGACAGTTAACGCGTTTAAAGCTGTTATTGAACTGCTAACGAGTATTGTGCAGTCGGTTAAGCCCGACTGCAACATTCCTACTTGTTATAATTTATACTCTGCCTCGTTTTGCTTTAGTTTGATTTGGTTTTATTTTTTTCGTTTGGTTTTTTGCTGGCTTTATCACAAAGCTTTTTCATTAGGGATTCCAATTACTTGACTACGATTCTTGGCGGGGGGAGTTGTATCGGTGTATGGCCTGGAGAACTGGTGTTACATATACATATGTACATATGTATGTATGCATGTATGTATGTGTGGGCCGGGTCTGTTGTTGCAGCTGCCTGTTGATTTCTTTTGTTTTTGCAATGAAACTGATTAAGCGTAATGTGAGAGCAATGCGGTCGCAAATTGCCTCAGAGATTTACGTTTTTTTTCTCCCTAAATTATTATTATTTCTATTTCATGGGCATATATGTATGTATGTGTGTACATGTATGTAGGGTTACCCTGTAGTTCTTCTGGTGTCAAGCGGCAAGCCTAACGATCTGATGCATCACCGTTCGAATTGATAAGGGCATTAGACAAAGACAGGTACAGTTTGTGGCAGGATTTAGTCGCATAACTTAATAATATTTACATACATATGTACATATGTACATAATTAATAAAATATATGTATAAGCATATGTACATAAATATGTAAGTATGTAGATAGCATATGATGGACCAAAAAGTATGCAGATATTTGAAGCTATGTATGTAACTATGTAACTGGCTTAAAAATAATGAAATGAATCCATAAGATTAAAAAATGCAAATGTCTGTATGTGCATACATATACAGTGACAACTCTTCCCGCTCAAGAGGATTGTTCTCAATCCTATAGAGGGACAATAGGTATAGCCTAATAATATGTCAGACACTGTTCGCCCAAGAGGGGTGTACGCTTGACAGAAGTGTTCGCTAGAAGAGTTTTCACTGTATATTGACCTTTGCTCTCAACTAACAATTTTGGCTACCTGTACAATTCATAAAAAACAAGCCGAAATAATGAAGACACAATCCTTTTTATACTTTAAATATGCAACACTTCGTATGTATGTACATCAATTATGATGAACAGAAATAAGCAGAACGTTGAGCAACAATAATAATAAAAATAATAATGTCAAAAATAAATTTAAATCACTTTTTAAGGCTCACATGAAAAAATTAAAGCAAATAATAATAACATATACATATGTATGTTTGCATGCATGCATGCATGTATGCATGTATGCATGTATACATGTATGTTTGTATATTAACGATGTATACAAATTAAAAGACTTCCCCGTTGACATTTCTGGGTCAGCGACCCAAAGAGTTAAACGAGGCGGCCGCAGTAAACAGAGTAACTGAGTGAACCGCGGGGACAGGCAGCGTGCGGAAGGGGATCGAGGAGTATGCGAAGTAGTGTCCAATGCCCAACCCAAGTTTATGGCATTTGTTGCTGTTGCTGCTGCTGCAGTTGTTGTTGTTGTTGTTTTTATTGAATATGATTATGTGGCACGCTGCAAAAGCGAGCGTAAATTATTTATTACACAATTTCGCAACAGCAACAACAATGAAAACAAATAAATTTTTGCATTTGGCAGCAGCCACGCAAAATGTGACGAAAACGCCGCCGCCCGCTTCAATAAAAATAAATAATAATTCATATTTACTATAAGTAGCAGCACCAGCAGCAGCAGCGGCGGCGGCAGCAGCAACAACAACAACAAGAACCAATTAGGCGTTGCGGCTGCTGTGGCTAAACAACTGTAAATTGTGCGCCTGCTGCTGAAAAGCCTGCGCAGCGGCTGCGCAGCCGCAGCGCAAACGGAGAGCAAACGCAGTAGAGTGAAACGAACGTTGGCGGGAGGGGCAGCAGCGCGGGGGCTGGGCATGACAAAGATGCGAGCTGAGCTGTCTGTTCGACACAAATTACCGTTAAATTAAGAGCTCGCCTTCAGTCACTTAAACACGCTAGAGTGAGAAAGACATAGAAAGAGAGAGAGAGAGTGGGAGAGAGATGGATGTAGGGCGGGGAAAAGGCTGGATTATAGCAGAGCTTAAGTCATTGGGGCAGTAGTATTGAATAATCGCAGGGCAATCAACAGCTCAGCTTGTTATCGATAAAATTGCTATCGAAATGCAAGTCTTCTGGCAAACTTTGGCCATAAAAATAAATATTATTTTTGAGAAGTAACACTTTCTATGGCCTCCCTGCTGCCATTTTTACCCCGCATCTTGATGACCTGCTCTTGATAAGAGCATGCTGCTGCTGCAGCAGCAGCAGCAGCAGTTGCCCTCGCCCAAGCCAATTGCAGCAACAAACTCAAATGAAGCGCAAGCGGCAAAAGTTGCCTTCAGTCGAACTCGTTGGGTTCTGCCTAGGGCAAGGGGCCAAGGGCTAAGGGCCAGGCGGCAGCCAGGCATCAAGTCAGCCAACATAAAGAGAGGCAGCAGCACGCGACCACAGCGTCACATGTGCCGCAATCTTGCACAGCCCAGCCCCCAATGTTGCTGCCCCCTTCACCACACATGGCCCCCGCCCCCTTGGCCCAACGCCCTATCTAGGGACACGGGCAGCACTCTGGCATTGGCGAGGCAGCTGCGAAAACGCCAAGAACGTTGACTTTGTGGAAAGCGCAAAAGAAGTCAGCAATAAAAGCAACACAAGGCGATATAGAAAGGGCATAAGACGATGATGATGATGATAATGATAGAAATAATGATGATGCTGAGGCTGCTGATGATAATGATAATTACGAAATGAGATGGATTAAAAGGAGGGGAACGCGCGCAGGCTTATGCAACTCGATGCTGTGTGTACTTAGAGCAGGGCGCAGCGGGGGATTGGGCGGTGGCAACCGCAGTCTGCACTGGACCGTTGACAATTGCTAATATTGTTTGGGGTTGCCACAGCTTTTCGCTTTGATTTTTTACAGTCATAACTAACGACAAAGCATTCAATCGTATCCCGATCTGGCAACGACAAAAGCTGAGTGTCAGCCCTCGCCTGGCTGGCCGCGTGGCACTGCCCTGCCACAACAGAGCTGAGCAGAGCAGAGCACATCAGAGAATCCGCATCCACATCCACATCCACGGCCACATCCACATCCACATCCACATCAACTGGGTCACTGACCTATCAAGTGCAAGACCTATTGAGCAGCACGCCAGGCAAATGGGAGAGCCCAGAGAGCTGGCGAGAGGGTTGTGTGCCGGCTGTGGCAAATGTGGCAGCAAATGTTGCCGAGGGGCAGCGCCACAGAAAAACTCGGGAAAAACGCTGAAAAAATGCTCCTCTCCGATACATAAAAACGAAAGCGCAGGCGAAACAAAAAATTAAAATAAACGAAGGGGGCGCCCGTTGCTGTTGCGGAGAGTTTGGCCCAGCGAAAAGTGTTGCCAGCCGAGCGATGGGTTCGTTGGCGGCATAGGGGACTGCCGGGGTTGGGGTTGGGGTTGGGGTTGGGCCTGTGGAGGCGTATGGGCGCACACTTTAGGTGTCAAAGCGTGCGAATGCGAAGGGGCCAGCGAACAGCTCAAGATTTTAATGTATGTGCGCGCCTCTCTCTCTCTCTATTTATGTGTGTGTGTGTGTGTGTGTTGAGAACAAATGTGGCAATTTTATTTACATTTGCCCAGCGCATTTTGACTTTGGCAGGTTGCCCAATGCTGGAGGGTCAGGTCACATCAAAAGTAGGCCCCTGAATTAGGGTAATTCTGTATTTTTACTAACTTCGCAACAAGCTGGCAACGGGTCGCTTCAAAGTTAGTTAGCTTTTATATATTTCTTAAGCTTTTTGCAGCCACTTTGCTGAAGCACCGACTGGGGAGAAGTCCACTAAAAAGGGTTCACCAGTGAATGGGCTCAACCTATACGAGGGTAAACGAAATGAGCTACAATCGTAGCTTAGGAGATGATAAGATACAACGCACAACATCTAAAGTAACTTCAGATATATATTATAAATATGCAAATTTTTCAACAATTTGTAATTACCCATACTTCCGCATACACTGGCACGATTATTAATTGGGTTCTATTAGGTAGGTGGGTGGTAGACTTTCTCTGAAAAAAAAAGAAGAAAGTATTTATAGTTAGAGCAAGACCACATATACAGTGAGAGATAGTATAGGAGAGAAAGAGATTACTGAATATTCATATTTATACAAAATGGAAAAGTGTAAGAGTATCAGGAGAGATAAAATCTATTAGTTCACTTAATACCAAAGCATGAAGACCAGCAGCACCTACTCGAATCCATGAGAATCACATAGAAGAACATCATTTTATAATACGTTTATATTACTTTTGCAGCGCACCGAGAAGTAAATTGAGTCTGCATTTGGTAGAAGCATATAAATACATGATACATGTTTATGTACATATACAGGCAAGGCTGGGCACACACATACGCACACATACATTAATTCACACTTATATTGACACTGACTTTTCAGTTCGGGCCTTTTGTTTTTATCTTTTAATTTTCAACATGACACTTGTACTCATTTTCTTACTGTGGACAATTTTAAAAATTTTCCTTAAGTTTCCTAAAGTTCCTAAAGCCGAAAAAAGTCAAGGTAAAAAATAGAAAGGGAAAGGAAAAATGGACCACAAACTTGAAATACAAAATATAATTTTGACTCTAATATTTTTTTTCACACATGTTCTCAGTATTTCGTAAAAAGCAGGTGATACAACTAAAATGAAATCTTCCCACCCAAAGAATTCGGTTAAATATGATGGACCAGTCCAAAATATAAAAGTAAGTTAAAGTCGACAAAAATCGAAGCATAGAAAATATATTTAATTAATTTCTGTATTTAAAGACCGATGACTTTTCGTAAGCTTAAACGTTTCAAAGATGTAAAATCCACATGGGTTTAAGGCTGTCCGACTGTCTGCCTGTCCGCCCCTTTGTCTCGGCCCCACCTCCGTGCCCCGCCGCGGTGTAGCAAATCAAACGTAACATTGAAACAGTAGCCGGACAAGCAGCCGAGTCAAAAGCAACAAAATGTCATGATTTACAATAAGAAATCATATATCTCGTCGTCGCAGATGCTTTGCTGTTTTTTTTGTTTTTTTTTTTGTATTTATTTTTTTATGTGGTCTCAAAAAACAACAAACCTGAGCTGACAATGAGCGCCCAAAGGGTTTCAAACTGGACGCTCCCCCTGCCCCTGCCCCTACCCCAGCCGATCCGCAAACTTCACGCAGCGCACACAAATACAAACAGGCCAACAGATGGATGGATGGACAGTGGGACGGACGGACAATCGAATGAGAAATAAAAAGAGAGAAAAAAAAAACAAAAACTATGTTACAAAGACAGAGTAAAGAAAACATTTAAAATGGTAGAAGAAAAAAAAACTGAAACTGGCTAAGAAACTGGGCAACTGCCAAGAACAGAGTCCGGCCAAGGGGTCGCTGGGGGCTGGGGAACGGGACGTGCGTTTATTTTGTGTAAGACAGGTAGCTGGCGAGTTGCCGCTCGACTCCGGCCATTGTCTGCCGCTCGGTCCTCGATCCGGGCTCGGGCTCGGAGCTGGCATTGGCACTGGCAGTGAAAAGTGCGCAGTTAAAAAATCGGTCGCCGGAGCAACCCACAGACAGAAAAAGATCAACATAATCGATGATGTGGTTGTAGTTGTAGCCAACCCGCAACCCGCAACCCTCCACTCCGCTCCGCAACGCTCGGCTCTGCCGTAAATGTGTTAAAAAACGCGCAGCGAGATTAAATGAGCATAAAATACAGCGCAGCAAACGTCGAACCGCGTGTAGCGAAAAAGAGTCGAACCGAACCAAAAAAAAAAAAAGAAAATAAATATAAAAAAAAAGTATCTTTAAGATGCCAGACACGAAACACGTCGTCGACTGGCGTTCATCAGCGGCGACCCTGCTGACTGCCTGACAGACTGCCCACAGTTGAGCACAGGCCGAGTTCCAGGCCCAGGCCCAGGCCCAGGCCCAGTCTCGGTCCCGGTCTCGGTCCCGGGTCCCAGTCTCGGAGCCAGTCCCCACTTGAAGCCTGGCCTGCCCTCGAGCCTTTCGCCAATAAAATATGCATGCTGAGCTCGGCTTGAGACCTGGGGCAACCGCTGCTGATGGGGCCTCAGCTGCTGGGCCAAGGGGAGGGTCTGCCGCTGCCGTTGCCGTTGCCGGTACAATCAGCGAGGAGAACTTCATAAAGTGAAAATGTGTAGCATATATTTTGATGATACTTCGTATGCATGGGCGTGTAGAGGGCAGGCCTTAAAGGCACAGCCCATACCCTGCGATCGGTAGCAAAAAAAAAGCATGGGGTTTATTCTGAATGCACTAATTTACCATTTTATATCATTATTTAAATGACATCGTCAAGTGTGGTTCGAGCATTTAGTTCAAGTTTTCTAAAACTGTGCGACCCTTCAGGTTCCCGGGTACAGCATCTTTTGTTCCAGAGAAGCAGACAAAAGCTCATCAAAAATTATGCCCCGCAGGCAAATGATGGCATGAAAAATAAACCAGAAAGCAGGCAACAGCTACAGCTGAAATTATACGCAATCGAAGCCAGCGAGCAGCTTCTGTGCAGCAGCCAAAAAAATAAAAAAATAATAAAAACAAAAAAAAAAAAAAAAAAACGAAAGCTACATTGAGAGAAGGCGGACAGGCGAGCACATCCTCCGCTGAGATACACTGCCTCCGTCCAGGCCAACTGCTCGAGCAGGCTAACAAATTATGCTTCGCCTGGCCATAAAACATTTGTGTTAGCCCAAGAGCTCTGGCAGGCTCCTCGGTGCGAGCAGCCTGCGTATCACGATCGCCTGAGCAGGGGGAACACAGAGGGTGGGGAGGAGGCGTGTCAGGGGCGAGACTCGGGCACACGCATCGAGAGCTGGACAACAGGGACCTGGAAGCTGGGGCCTGAAACCCGGTACCAGGGACCGACCAGTTACCATTTTGACCGGCCAGCTAGTTCTCGATCTTGACTGTTGCATCAACGCCTCAAACTGCGGGCTGCGAGGCGCAGCAAAGTTTTAATCATGCGTTCGTGTTCGCCAAGTTTTAGGTTTGTCTTCTCTTCATTTTTTTTTTTTTTTTTTTTTGGATTTTAGCCAACTTGTTGCTGTTGTTGTTGCTGGTTGTTGCCGTGCTTTTTATAATGATTGCATTTATCATTTATTCTGCGCGTCAACCAAATTATATGCCTGAGCTTGCAAAAGGACGAGGGCTGCGCAGCTGGCGGGGCACCCAGCCAGTGCGAACCCATATTAAAATTGGTTCGTTCGATTTGGGCCAGGCGAGGGGCTGCCATGTGGCATGCATTGATTTTGGTTCGATTGTTGAGAATGTATAGGAAATTATATATTATTTATTGAAGTATTGAAAAATGTTTCTCGACCCAGCGACTTTACTTTTGCTGGTTCAACTCAAAAAGAAAGCTTCCGCAGATATGTTAACATACATTAGAGCGCATTGAGAATTGTCTTCAAAGTAATAAATGCGAATATGTGCAATTCTTTTCAGGTCAGCTTGTAATGAAAGTTGATAGCTTCACTGTGACAAGGCTCAGTTTTGCCCATTTGACCCAGAGATACAGTAAATTGGCCAAGCGCAGCGCTTGCTCCAGAGTCTGTAAGCGGTTGCATATGCTTTTTGATCCCAGTCGCCAGTCTTTGAGGTCAAGATTTATTGGAGCATAGAGGACTTGGACATGGGGTGGCTTCAAGTTTCGCTTTCGTTCGCAAAGATTTCGCTAGAAACCGAAGAAAGAGAGACAATCATGCCGCTTGATGAGCTGAGCAGCACGCTGATAAGATACTAAGCGCAGTGCCAGCCGCCTAACCATTGACAGGCACTGCCCAGCTGGATGCCCAGTGGCTGGAAGAAGAAGCAGCAGCAGCAAGTGGACCGACTCACACCTCGGCCAGTTTGTCAGCAATTACAGTAATTCCAATTAATACGCAGCAGTCGTCGCCTATCCCCCTGCTGCAGCCCTGTTGCTTGTACCGCTCGGTAGGCACTTATTTTTTCTAATTTGTGGCGCGTGTTGCATGCCACAAATCTCAAACTCAACGAGGCTCTGCTCTGTTGAGTGAGTGTGCTGTACACATATACACACGCACACACACACACACGCAAATTAGCATGAAAGCGTAAAAAGTATCCATAAGATACGAATGGCAACAGCACGCCACTGACACGGCAGAAAACGCAAAATTATTATATCTAGATGCTTTGCCAGCTGAAATGATAAATCTAAACAACTGTCCCCTCTACCCCTCTGTTAGAGGGTACGGGCAATGGCTGGCAACCAGTAGCAGGTTGGGTGTAGGCTGCATTCAACTCTAGATTCGGGGCTGCAATTATAAATTGCAAAGAGTGCGGTCTGCGGATTGCGAACTGCTAGCTGGAGCTGGAGCTGCAGGAGCTGCTGGCACATGGAGCTGGTAATTGCCCTCGGGGGGAAATCAACGTGCTGCTGCGGCAGCAACAAATGCGAGTTGCAGTTACTGCCACAGCAGTTGTTGCAGCGGAAGCTGCAACAGGCATTCTATGCAACTTTTACCATACAATTCTAATAACTGCAGGCGCTGCTTTTTTTTTTCGTAGTATCTTTGGCTTAAAAGGAAGACTTCGCAGATACATTTCGATTAAGGCAGCAGCAGCAACAAAAAATCAGCTCTCACTCTTCTTTTTTCTTCTTCTTATGTTTTCTGTTTTGAGTGATAAATGCAGTTGCATTGCGGATTCAGTCACTCTGCTGCTCGTGGCCCAGCACCATTTGTATCTGTATCTATAGCTGTATTAGTATCTGTATCCAGGCATCTGTTGCTCTTGCTGCTGTTGCTGCTGCTGCTGGAGAAACCCCTATAATTAGTATTTAAAAATTGTTTTTCCGGGTTTTATTTCTTATTAATTGATGTTGTTGTTGTTGCTGGAGGATACAAACGTTGACTGTCTATTTGGTGCGTAGTTTGCAATTGCAAACCAATGATAAAATGTCTGCAAATGCTGATAAAACTATAATCCACAAAATGGAACCGTTATACATATTTTTATTACAATTATGAATATAGAAGTGA